TTCGTGATGACCAGCTCGACACATGCGTCCATAACTTCGTTTCCGGTTAGGGTGCAGCCAGTGGGTGCAACCCCACCGTGAATGCCGTTTTGACTCTTCTTTTGACGGTTGACAACTTTCTTCCTATGTAATCTACAGTCATAAAGTTAATGTCAAATTAAAGAGCTATTCTTCAACTACAGTTTAGTGTCTCGAAATTACTATTATTTTTCGTTTCTAGTTTATTGTTTAGATTTTAATACACCAGTTTCTAAATTTGATTTTTTCCCCCTCGAGTTATAACTTATAACATCCCTACGTACACGATAATTTACGTGACCAGTCAGCTGGATATAACGAATAAAAAAAAAGTAAGCAACCAACTGTACAGAGAATGTTCATTTTAAAATAACGAATAAACTTTAAAATAGTGTTATATCATCGTGCTATAGAAACGGAATCACGTCAAATAATAAAAAACACGAGACATTTACTTTGGAAGCACCATTCGAAATCACAGTTTCTAGAGCTGTGATTTCGAATGGTGCATCGACATATTACGCGTAAAGTTTACTATTAGACCCCAAACTTTTTTCATTGAGTTACGATAAGTTGTAGTTTCTTATTACCAAGTATCGATGGCGACACCTGTTCAAGAATCCCTTAAGCTGCATTTGTCGTCGTGTGCCTCTTAAAACGCCACGTGAAAGACAAAAAAAAAAAAAAAAAAGCGCCAGATGCTATGGTGTTAGATGCCTGGAACAAGCGCGAGGCAGCGGGTGCACCACAGCTGCTTTTGTGCGCGTAACACGATTCAAACAAAGTCGGCATTATGAAAGAGATTTCGCAAGTTGCGACTCCGCCGTGTATGCCAGCGCGTATGGATTTTGCTTCCCTCTGATTCCCACAATTTATATTGCGCCGCGATGAGGCGCTTCGAGTTTTTGAATAAGTCTTCAATGATTTATCAACTGAAAAAATAATTTTCGCGGTCACACAATGGCTTTCTTGAATGGTTCGTATATTTCGTTTCACGGTTGGTATATTTTGTTTCCCAGTCACCTCGGTGACTTTTAACTGGCAATGATATTAGAACAAAACACTACAGATAAATTAAAACATCTCAGTGGGTCTGAGCCAACGCGCTGGCCTATGAATCCTTATTTGGTGGGTTCGAATACCAGCCGAGGTGCCCGCAATCTGACGATGCCCAATCCGAGATTTTGGTTGACGTCAAAAGATCACCAGTTGGTCGAAATGAACCCACGGATTTTGTAGCGTGAGCTACACTGGCCGAGGCTGAGCAGTTTCGCGTGGCTATCAAAGTTGACGTCACACGGCGCATAGCTGGCATGCCGGAGCCACCGCGCGCTCCGCCGCCGCCGCGTGCGCCTCGCAGGTCTGCGCATGCGCGAGGAGCAGTGACGTCACATGACGCACAGCTGGCGCGCCGGAGCCGCCGCGCGCTCTGCCGCCACCGCGGGCGCCTCGCCGGTCTGCGCATTCCAGAGGAGTGACGTCATAGCCGCGGCAGACGCACTGGCGCCGCCGCGTGCCCAACTGTGCGCCTCCGTTGCTCAATAGCCAAATCTGACGCTGCACCGGAACCGCTCGATAGCACCTCTCATTTTGTGCGCATAAGCTCGCGCTAGTATATCCTGGCATAGCCGAGCTAGGCCACAGCAATTTTTTCGCTGAAACGCGCTCATTCTCTGGCGGACAGCGCACGGAATAGTTTTGGCGAACGAGTTCGGAACAGTTCTTTTGATTAGCTCCAATTCAGGTTCAGCTACAAAATGACGCCGAACATTTCGGCTTGGGTTTTGTTCCGGTTCGGGCAAATAAGCGGTTCAGTTCCGGTTACGGTTCCGACACCCTGCTCGTGCGTGGCTTACCTGGCCTTGACACCGGACCGTTACGTGCGGTGCGGGGAAGAACAAGAACTGTGTTAATCATAATGTAACACCTGGGGCTGCGGTGCGGAAAGTTCAAAAACTTTAAAGTCGGAGCAAAAGACAACAGTAGGAGGGCGTCTGAAACTCAAACAGAAACTAGGAGTTTACATTCTCCCACTGTCCTTTTTTTTTTCGTCTTGCAAGCTTTTTTTTTTTCACACTTGTTTTAGGTGTTACATTATGAATATCAGCAGCGATCGCCTGCACACTCGCAGTTCTTTTGTTTTTTGCAAAGAACTGTATGCTATATTTTTTTCACAGCAGCATACGGGCAAGAGGTCTTAGTTCTGGAAGGCGGTTGCAACCAGCTATCAAAAGCGACAAGATCGCGCTGCCGGCGGTCTATGGGACATATCTACAAGCTGTTTTTCCTTAAACTTAAAAAAAAAAAAAAATGTTTAAAAACTTTTAGCCTTACCACTCTGGAGAAGAAGGAAAAGCAGCGGAGCTTTAGCTTTTGTTCTCGGCTGCGACTTTCCAGGCGAGCGATCTGCTCTTCTATCGCAAGGGAATCTGAAGCGCTCGAACTTTAGGCCATAACGGCCTCGCGGCGGTTGCGGAACCATTCGCGCTGCTGCGCACATCGCCGCTCGTTCCGTTCCCGCTCTTCTTCCTCCGAAGAAATGTTGCCGCCATCTATGAGCGACGGCAGCAACCAGTTGTCTGGTTGCCGAGGCTGGAGAGGTTGCCGCGATCTATGAGCGACGGCGGCGAACAGACAACCCGCAAACACAACACTCTGGACAGCTACCGCAATCTATGAGAGAAGGCGGTAACCAGAGTGTTGTGTCGACATTTCTTTGGTACCGGACACTATCCTAGAGAAAGTACAACTTAACAACTCCACTGTAAAAAAAAAGTTGGGAAAGTTAATTAACGCAGTCTGTGCAGGTGGGTTATACCAACACTTAACTATAAAACAAGGCCGGTGCCTGACGTCATCGTATCCCCGATCTCAACCCAAGCGGCAAACACGCAGAAGCTCGTCAAGCCATAGGCAGGCCAGGCCTTGTCAATGGCTAATCGTCACACTACGCTGGATACCTTAATGGAAAAAAAAATATATGAATCTATATAAGAACTGATATGAAATATCCAAAAACTGATATGCCATTTATAAAACTGATATAAATTGTCCAAAAACCGATATGTGACATATAAAACTGATATGAAATACCCAAAAACCTATATGCGACATATGAGAACTGATATGCAACATCTGCCAACTGGTATAAATGATAACTGATGACTTTCATATCAGAATATGCAGTGTGTACAATAAACATATCAGAAATACATTCATATATTTTTTTTTCATTATAGAACGTGCCGCGCGGGCAAGCAAACACGTGGCTTGTAACCGCAGTGAAGCGGCTTGATTTATTGGCTTCCAAATAATTACGGCATGAGCGTTTACTTTTTACTAAGAGATTCATCCTCTGGGCCGTTCAAAATACTCTCAGATGAATGACATTACTGAAAATAAATCATCATGTTGGGAATATTATTTACTGCTTAGGTGGTCACCGAAAAAAATCCGTACCTTAAAACCAGTATAAAAGGCGGAAACACAGAGCTCGGAAGTAGTTATCGGATGTGCTGCTGCATTTATTTTTGTTGTGCCGTTTATGTATATTGCTCAGTGTATATCTTCAGCTCATGCTAGTGGTATGCATAATGTATCTACATGATGGCGTGAGCAAATAAAAATATTTTTGTAGCACGTGAATTAAGCGGTACCTAGCATAGCTGAAACTGATATGCGACATATGAAACTGATATGAAAAAGGTGTCCAATAAACATATCAGAAATAAATTCATATAAATTTTTTCTGCAGGGTAAATAACAAAATTTTGTTAATGCGGAGCGCAAATTCGTCTGCTTCACGCACAGGGGTTGCTATGATAGTCAGAATGCCGAGTTCTTACTGGCTGATTGAACATAAATTGTGGGTAGACCTCAAGGCATCTAGCCAGGCACGTAGCCAGGATTTTGTTTGGGGGGGTGGGCCGCCCATGACGAAATGCTGTACGAGGGGAGGGGGGAGAGGAGGTTTCAGCAAAATGGAAGATTTCTGAGGTGGGGGCGGGGAAAGGGCAGGCCCCATGCCCCCCCCCCCCCCCCCCCCCCCCCTTGGCTACGTGCCTGCATATACCCACTACCTTTGAAGTCCCACTATCCATTGAAGTCTACCCGCTATCCTTTCAGTGAAAGGCAATAGGCCTCCCGCGTTGACCAAGGGGCGCTGCGAAAAGGGACTTGTTAGGACTTGCTTTCGCGCATGTAGAACAGTGCCTGCTCTGGCGTGGAACGCGAGATCATGAGAGAAATACAAAGAAACAAGTTTGAACGCCGTCGAAGCAAAAAGCACAAGCCAAATCTCAGATACTAGGAGCATAATCCCAAAGATGCCATTTTACGCGTTCCAAAGTAAAAATGAAAAGAAAAAAAAGGACAGCCTCCAGACGCCAGATGTTCTGACGTCACCACCTAGCGATAAAAGACGCGTACCCTAACGCTGGTTGCCTTAACCTGGAACTTTCGATTGTTTTGCGGCGTTGAATCTAGCAGATTTCGGACGTCCAAAGCTGTTTTTATCATTCTTCAGCACCCAACAGAAAGGAAAAAGCTGAACCAACGAGCCACTAGTGCGAGGCCCAATCAGGTGAGCTTGTACTACCCAAATGAGGGCGCCACAGTTTGTTCAAAGCTTCAGCGCGGGAGGCCTATCAGAGCTTAACGTCGTTCTGACGTCACCGCAAACTTTGCACAAGCAGACAACTTGCTCTCTGCATAGATCATTAGTAAATCATTCCAATACCTCCAGCGCCGTCTGCTGCTATTGGTCAGCGGCGCGGCGCTGGCCAATCGCAGCAGACGACGTTGCCCCGGTCCCTTGGTTCCGATTGGCCCCGCGGCCCCCGCCGTGTAGCATAGGGCCCCAGGTGTGTAGACATGAATGTCAGGCAACATCAGTAAAGGTGACTTGACAGACATGTTGAAATCATATATCTCGGCAGTTCTTGGCCGCACGAGCTCAGAGAAGAAAGGAGACAAACAACAGGTACTTTCTCAAGCTTGGACACTGCCGTTTCTTCAATAAATTACTCCACTACACAGTCAACAAAATATATACGTGTCTGTATATATTATATATATATATTTATACTCGTATGGCATGTAACACACTTCCCTTTTTTTTTTCGCTTTACTAACCGTCAGTTGTCGCATTGCACACCGTCTTCTTTAGTTACATGCTCCTTCTGCGGAGCTTGAGAAACAGTCCGACAATGTAGACAATGAAAGAAGTTTCATTGTGCTTTGGTCCCACAGATAGAATTGAGGAATAGCTTTTTTTTTTTTTTACAATGAGCGAACATAAAAAAAAAAGAACTGCAATGACACAGTTGTGCACGATATGTCGTGTTACGGGACAAAGGCACTTATTTGGTCACGTTAGCCAACGCAAAAGCCGAACAAGAAACAGAAAATTCATCCGCACTCACTGCCCATGTGCTACAGAATGAGAAACATACATCTTTGACAAAACTTTTCTTGTAGAAATTTTTCAATCTTGACTGAACATGGGTCCTTCAAAAAGGGTTCCTTGCACACAAGGAAAAACTAAAGGCAATGCTCAAACACCGTGGTTCTGAAAAGTTTGGCTTCTTTATAACTACCGTTGGCTTGCCGGGCGGGTACTATAAATGGCAAGTACCCATGCATTCTGCCAGGTGCATTTACTTTGATAAAGGGCGGTCATTTCCACCCGAAAACTCTGCCCCAAAACTGTGGTTGACCTTGATGATGATGCCCGTGCAATTCACACATTGAGCTTCCTTTCTGCCAGTGTCGTCCTTCAGGCTTTTTTCCAGCCGCATCAACATTCCCTATGTTAGTACACAAACGAAGTTGGCACCAGTGATTGTGAAAAGCTCTATATTCCTTGTTAACAGCTAGCTCGCTGCATGTGTGTTCTGACCTTCATCTGAGTGTCTACAAATTGTCTAAACTGAATACTCACATGCACACAAATGACTTTTAGTATAATGTCCAAAATGGCTGCTTATGAAACTGTCATACACTAAATGAGGGCTTTACTAATGCTACATGCTTCTACAGCATTTTTTAATTAACTGTACCCTAGCTGTTAAGCAAAAATTCTTTTTTTTTCACACTTTGTTTTTTTACGACTAAACACCCAGCAAGTCAAAAGCGCTACCTTCAAACCCTGACAAGATCAGACACCACCCTTTCTCGATTGTGCAGTAATGGTATTGTGAACAGCTGCTGCAAAAATTGAGACTACTTTACAAAAAAAAAAAAAAAAAATGTGCAACACAAATTAAACAGTCTTCAAACCATCCAATCACCAGACCCAGCCCCCTCACTCCCAGAAATTAAAAGAAAAAATTAAATGATGTTAAAAGAGCACATAACGATGAGTACAAATAGATGATGTTGCAACATACCATATAGAAGAGAGCTGTCAACACAGCATGAAACAGCTCCTCGCCCAAAGATTCGCTTATCACTTCCTCGAGGCATTTGAGAACTTTGATGTATTCCACTAGAGACTACAGGCCTGCCCATGATTAATTTAGAAACGAAAAGAAAATGCAATCCTTCTCATGGTACAACGCCGCCCAATTCGGAGATCGTTTGACAGCCGATGCACACACACCTCAACTGTAATGTGGAGGTTCCTGTTACTTGAACATAAAATAGAATGTTTCCTGAAAAGTGACACACTTGTCAGAAGGCCTATGACGTTTGTAAATGAAAAAAGACAGTGACTTATTCTCACACGTGTTTGATGCGAGTTGTTTTGATGTCCAACAGTCCCTATATTATTTCTCTTATGATGCTTGTGCCACCTCATCAATGTCTTTACTACATTTACAACTCAATATGGGCACACTAGTTTGGGCATGTGCACACTCTTTGTTACCCTAGCAGCAAAGCAAAAACACGACATATGCAACAGATATCACTGTATCAAAGACTTGGGAGCTGTGCTTCCCCTCAACACACTTGAGCTGAAACAGGCACCACTTGAGGTTTACAAAGTTCAAACCGCACGTTTGTCACAAGGGTGGTGTTCCACACAGTTACCACAAATCTCACGGTTGCAGTTAGATGCGGCCGATGGCTGCCAATGTCTTCGTTGAACACAATGCTGCCAAATGCCATTCATGCATCGTCATTGTGGCAACATTCTCAGCTGGATGTTTGAGCCCGCACACACCACAGCTGGAAATAGTTCAGGTAAATCGCTACACTTGCTTACCATGTTTCTCAAGAGGTCCTGAAGGCATAGCAACATTTCGTGGTGACATCTTTTTGCCACAGCTCAAACTGGGCTATCCTTCTGACTGAAATAAGGGATGGTACCACAAGTGTTCCCCTTGTCCGGTTCGATTGTCTAGATAACTCTCACTTGTTGCAAGTACCGATGGTTTCACTCAAGAGTTTCTTGACATTATGAAGATCCCAATGTCTATGTAGATGTGTAGGTGGACCCTAATTGAATTCCTAGTTCGCTTTCACACACTGGCAGGCTGCACACAAAACAGTTCCGTGAAGGTTTGACACACACACATGCATCGTAGCACATGGCACTGCAAAAACTATGTGCGCAATGCCCATATTGTCGCAGATACCTGTGCCTCGGGCCTCATCCCACTGCCGTCATACCGCTTCTTGCTACGCTGCACAACCACACACCACGAAGTTCACACATGCAGAAACAAGTCATCCCGACCCTGTTTCACCAGACCCCTTGTCCCCTAGCAACCCGAGAAAGGTAAGAGCCCCATCACTTCTCGACAGCCAGTGCTTTTTCCGCAACGGCGTCGTTGATGACACCATCTGGAACCGCTGCCTTCTTTTTGGCAATGGACTGCTTGATGAGTTCCCTGTGCTCCTCTAGTTCCCTTTCCCTCGCCTGCCATTCCTCCATCTTCTTCTTGATTTCTAGCGTGTTGTTTAGGACAAAGTTGTCTGGCTGCCCGTAGTCCGGAGGATTGGCGGCCGGGTCGTAGCCCAGCTGCGCCAGCATCGGCGCAACCTTGGCCATGTCCCGAACCACGTCTTCTGGGATGTGGCCCACCCATTTGCTCAAGGCCCCCAGGTTTATGGGCTTGATCACCTGGTCCGTCGACCGCTCCAGTCTGGACATGAGAATGTGGTAAGTCACTGCATTAGCAAGGCTGGGCAGGCATTGCAAGCCCAAAAGGTAATAGAAAGGTCAAAACACAAAAGGCAAAGAAACTGTGGAAACAAGAATGTGAATTAGATGCTATAGAGACCTGTATCACCCAATGTATAGCCTTGGTAGCAAGATTCTATGGCATTTCATGTTGTCCCAAGGCCTCATGTATAATGTGTTTCTAACAGATGGATAGGGCCAGACACGGGTCAAGTGAAAGATATCTCCAGAGATTTACAACTTGTCAATAGTAATGTTTATGTACTAGTACTTTTCCTTCTTATTGTAGCTAAATCTGCAAGTGCACATTTAACTGCATTTATTCCTAATTTCATACGGCACTTCCTCTGCAGAAGCTCAGATGCAGTGGAACTAAAACTTCTGGTTGTGCACAATTTAATTGCAAAGAAGCGTTAATAGGATACACTGCTTTATAGTAGTCATTTTCGAGCATGTCGCATTGAATTGACAACCACAATGATAACAGTGTGCTCACTTGGAGAGAGCAATGCCAGACTGGTTGATGAGCTGCTCGTGGTGCAGCACCGAGTCGTTCCAGGGCACCTCGAGAAAGGCCAGAATACGCTGCATCCACGCACGGGGGTGAAGCACCAGCTGCTCATAGTACACGGGCAGGCAGAGCCCTGGCCCCAGCTGCTGGCACTGGGCATACATCGAAGTCATGGCTGCATTCCACCGCTTCAGGCACTGACGGTAGTCTGACAGGTCATAGCCTGTGATGGTCACCTGCAAAAAATTAACCTGATGTTAGCCCTTCAACTCTTTTCAAATATGTATACCAGGGTTTCTCAAATGGGCTTCCTGGGAGCCCACGGGTTCTTCAGCGTACCCTCAGGGGTTCCCGGTATTCCCCTAGAGGGCTCCCAACTTCCCAGATTTCCTTGGCTTTCCCAGTCCCTAGGTAAAGTGTTCTTCCCGTTTAGGTATTATTTTAGAACCTCTGTGCCATTGACTGATGCATGTTCCAAATGTTACCTAGCACAGCAACAAAAAAAGATGTGAAGGGAGCTATGTTTCTCGTTTAAAAAGGCAGACGAAAGGATATAGATGATTCAATGGTTCCAAATTACCGTGTCTGTACGATTCTAACGCGCCCCCAATTCTGACGCGAAGCAAGATATTGCTTCCAGATATTCAAAAAGTAAATTGCTGCAGATTCTAGCATGCAGCTAAAATAAAGAAGATTGAACACACACCTTATAAAACAGATTTTATGAAACGCCTACCAACACAAATAGCTCGGCTATGCCAGGATATATGTAGCGTAAGCTTAGGTTCAGCTGGTTATTCTTAGCTTTCCTGGTTGTCTAGGATTAGCTTGATTATCATGCTTACTGCTGCTTCAATGACAGAGACACAGTATACGTATTATGTGACTACTTCAGGATCCAATGAGTTAAGCTTCTCCGCTTTTCTTATTGCGGAGGAGGCATCGTGTAACCGAGCTTTCGGTTGCACGTCAAAAAATCCCCGGGCGGTCCAAATTAATCCTCAGTCCTCTGATGGAGCGTGCCAGATGCCCGTCATTGGTTTGGCCAGCTGTGCGCCGTGTTGTTATGTATCAGGCAACCAAGCTGCCGCCCAGAACAACCAGACAGCGCGAGCCATGATCTCAAGCGGGTGCATGCACGCGGCGCGTGCATCGGGGACTGACCTAGGCGCCATACCAGTCCTGCCCGTTCCGTCACTGCTCCTCGCGCATCCGCAGCACGGCTCTCCAGGAGCCACGCGAAACTGCTCAACCTCGGCCGTGTAGCTTACGCTACAAAAAAATACTGTGCACTAGTTGCCATTGTCAGAATCTGACAATGGTTCTTCTCTGTCTAAAGATGTAATCCTTGCTTTCGTCTCAAATGTTTTAAATTCCGCGCTTCTTACACTTGTCCGAGTGTGCGACCATCGCCTCCAAGAGAGTCGCCTTCCAAACAACACTTTGTGAGCTCGTCGGGTCGCTACGATTGCGAGGCCACGCAGTGTGGCCCTGTTATTATCTTTCCCTGCCAGCATGATGGACTTTCGTATAAATAAAACCTCCTAGTGGAATTTGTTTTGTTTCTTCATCTTAAAACGGCAGACATGAGTCCGTAGACGCGAGAGAATGCGCATGACACGGATACCAAAATGGCAAATGTAAACAAACGGTAACGATGGCAATGGGTCTAGCCACCGTTTCCAGAGTATTGCACTTTTCTTTTGAGTATCAGTTTTTGTTTCGATTGTAACGCGCATGTAGTTTTGGGCACCAATTTTGGCGGAAAAAGTGAGCGTTAGAATCGTGTAAGCACAATAGCACCAACGAACCGAATATCAAACTCGGGGTGCAATTGACCGGAGGCAGAGCCAGAGGCTGGAAAAAGGGCAACGTGCCTTGCGGGTGATGATGGAGTGAACGACCGCCCTGCCGTCCCGGATCATGAGCAGGAACTTAGCCCTGGGGAAGAGCCGGTGCAGGTACACCGCCGCCCTAAGGGTGAACGGGTCCTTGTTGCACAGGCGTGGGGCGGGCTTGCCGTGGCGCACTATCACCTCCAAGATGAAGGCAGACATCGCCGCATCCAGCACCTGCAGGGGACCCGGAGAATGGACAACATCGGGCAGGCAGCAGCGATATACATACATCCCCCAAACACACTTTTAACATTCCCCCAGGCTGAGTCCCCAACACTCTGCCCCCTCCATACTAATTTGCAACATAAAGTACACAAACCTATAAAATACACTGCCCCCCCCCCCACCAAGAATCCAACCCAGAAAGTTTTGACACCACCAGACTGATAATCCTGGATGAACCCCAGGATCGCAGCATGTTGCTAATCAGTCTGAAACCCTGTCGGGCTTTGTTTTGTAAGCGCTCGTCCTGTTCGCCTCCCTTTTTTGTTCTCGTCTTTGTTAGCGCGTTCAAATTTTATAAGTCATGAACCAACTCGTCCGCTTCGCCACTTTAGTTTGTTTTGGAAATCGGATGAAATGCTGGGGAAAGTATGGGTAGGACTACAAGTAACTTGAGAAGTATACAAATTTGAGAGTGCTTAATATTGGGAGTTAGACAAAAAAAAATCAATTCCTTCAACTAAAATTTTGAGAAAAATAATGCCTAAAAGGTGGACTTAGAAGGAAAGACCAGAAAGAGCAAGCACTGCAGCTGCAAATGCATTACAAATGCTGGCAGTGTATATTTTAAGAGCATGAAAAAGTTGTCAGATTGGCTTCAAGCTGTCTTCGTTTCCGCCTTTATATACAGACAAAACTCGATTTAACGAACCCCGATCTAACGAACCCCGATCTTACGAATTTCCCAATCTAACGAACAAAATGTGTTTCTTCCGAAGTTTCCCATAGGGCTTAATGGTTATATAAACTTGAAATAACGAAGTAAATTGACCCTCAAACCCGATTTAGTGAAGTATTCACGAAAAAATTATTCGCAAAAAGAAAGTCATTCTAAATTTATACTGCCCAGATGGATCAAAGCTGGCCGTTCGCATGCCAGCGGTAAAATCGAGGGGCAGGAGGTACCCTACAAAACAAAACTGCACAGAGCATGCATGGATTCTCCGCATGGCTTTTAATCGACTATCCACACTATAGTCGGTTACAAGTCGAGAAGGTAGGAGAAGCTCCTCTCACAAGCGTGATGCGCCCGTTTCAAATCCCTCCGCAGTCGAAATAAGAGTTCACTGGAAACGCTCCTTGTTCCACTTCAATGGATAGATAATGGACACAGAGTGGTACCAACTTGTCTTCGACCCCCACTTTTTAAGAAAGCAACCTTTGTATTCATTGGAGGGGAAACCGAGCCCCTGAAAGCAGCCTTTGTATCCATCGGAGGGGGAAGCTAATCCCCGAAAGTCGTATTTGTTTCCATCGGAGGGGAAAAAGTCTAATGTCCCTTTCGTGGCTTCCACAATGCTAAGCCAAAGTTGAAAGATAAAGCAAATATGTACAGAAAGGCAAGACCCTCCTCGCACGTTGGTCGCGACATCACGGAAACGATGGGACGCTATTGGATACGGAGGCGGCGGAGGGATATATGATACCCTTTGAGGGGCATTTGCCGCTACCTTCTTAACCTGTAACTTACTATAGATGGCGCTAGCGGTGCCTTTGTGTCGCATGCTATACCCCCCCACCTGGGGTGGGGAACCCTAGCACTGGGGTTCCCTACGTGGACGGGGGGGGACAAAAAGGGCCTGGAAACCCTAGCTCTCACCGCTGGAGGACGGAGTCCCTGAGGCGGGGAGCGCGGCGTGTGACGTGTGGCGTGAGACATGGGGACGACGTGAGCCCGCATGATGTGGAACGACCCAGATGTGTGGACGCATGACGTGTGACGACCTGAACTGAAAAGGGATGGAAGTGAGACGTGAAGCGTGTTGACATGACATGTGTGGATGCATGACGTGTGACGACCTGACCTGAAAATGGATGGAAGTGTGACGTGAAGCGTGTTGACATGTGGGGAGTAGGACGTGGAGTGGGTGAAGTGAGATCGAGACGTGTGACGCGGGACGTGGGACGCTGCGTGGTGATCCGAGACGAGGCATCCATACAAGGTGAAGGTCTGACATAAAAGTGGGGAACCCTCGTATCTTCCCAAGTAGGTAGGCGCCCCTCAGGATGGCGGGGGTGGTCTCCAGGGGAGCCGAGGGATATAAAAGTGAACACTGCAACGGGGCTGTGTGGTTCATGGTTGCCATACAGTGGCCGTCCGACCCGCTGTGAGACGCACTCGTGTCTTAGTAGCGGAGGCGGACAGTGAGTCGGACATCGGTGGTGCTTTTAGTACCGGCTGGCTATTCCTGGGCCGTTCCACTGGCTGTTCAGATTGGTGGTTTCCTTTATTTCCAATTTATTTCCAATTGGCATTTCCAAGAAACAGAGCACTTTCTGCGGCACCGCGGCACCGGTGAGTCACCAGTGCCGCGGTGCCGCAGAAAGTGCGCGGTTCGAGTGTTTGCTTGGATACAACGAAGTCAAGGCAAGCTCCAGCTGGCTGCCACGGTTTTAAGAATGCTACTAAACTGTAGGAAAAGTGTTGATAGGGGAGTCAGCCAGTGCTAAAAAAGTCGGAGCCGATGACAGGTTATCCGAGAACGTGCTGGACATTCTTGGAAGTTATGCCCCCGAGGACATGTACAACGCAGATGAAAGCGGGCTTTTCTACCAGTACAACCAAAGAAGATGCTCGCGCAAAAAGGGGAGCCTTGCCACGGCGAAAAAAAGAGTAAGCAAAGGCTTACTATCTTGCTCTGTGCTAACATGGATGGGAGCGACAAACGCGTCCTGCTCATCATTGGGAAAAGCGAGTAGTTACGGCGCTTTAAAGGGGCCAAGGAACTATCCGCACAGTGTGTCGCGAGCACTAAGGCCTGAATTAGTCCCGTGATTTTCTTCAAGTGGCTCACGGAGTTTGATGACATGCGCCAGCAGAAAAGGAAGGTGTGCCTTTTGTTAGATATAATATTAATTGGGTTGTGTGCATGTTCATGCAGCCTAGAACTTGGTCTGCCTCAATGGACGACGAGTCTCCCAGCTGTAGATGAACAATTTAGCCAGTGCAGTACAACCACTTGCCCGGGGGCCTTTAACGTGCATCACGCAGTAGTGTTACACGACCGCACGCCGGTACAATGCTCATCCAGATCGAAACGGGCCAGGGTGGGGTTTGAACCCAGGATCTCTGGGTTCTGCAGCGCGAGCTTTTGCTCCATGTGCTCCGAGCTGGTGTGCGCTAGACCACTCGGCCACCGCATCCCGAAGCTTCAGTTGATATTGTGCAGCTGCGTTACTTCCCCCCTATGCAACCTCGGCCCTTCAGCCCCTGGACCAGGGAATCATCAATAGCACCAAGAGCACATACAAACGGCAGGTGACTGACAAGCTCCTGATGAACCTGGAGATGAAAAGCGCTGCTGCCACCATCTTATGGCGACTGAGATGGTGTCAGCAGCGTGGAGGGTAACCAGGCGCTCAATCATCATAAATTTCTTCAAGCATGCCGGTTTTGTGATGTCCAATGCTGAGGCTGCGTTGGGCTCTGCAATCCTTCAAGACGACCAGGAAGAGGCCACGGCCAGTTCCTGGGAAGAGCTTTGCCAGCTAGACGAGGTGGCGGAAGATGTGATCTTCACCGAATATGTGCGGGCTGACGCCGACGCAGACATTGACACGACGGAGGTGTTAGATGATGAGATTGTGCAACTTGGTCTCCGGTGCACAAAAAGAGTCGGAAGATGCTGGCAATCTGGAAACTGCCAAAGCGCCTGTGCCCGCTCCAATTCAGGTAATGGATGCTATCGACCTGCAAAGGCAGTTTGCTGGGGCTCACAAGGGAACGGAGGACACGCTGAATGCGCTCGCAAGCTACGAGAAGTCCGTGCATCCACTCCTGACAAAGCGCACGCAGGCGAAGCTGACAGGCTTCTTTGGTAAAAAGTAAATCTCCCCTGAGCTCTGAGGTTTTCTTGTTTTCCTTTTAGCACGCACAAGCAGCCTGACCCTTTGTGGACTTTTCTGTGCACCGTTAAAAATTTCAGTGCATGAACACGTAAAATCGATGCCATGGTAGTTCTCACGATGCCGCTGCATTAGGACTTCATATTTACAAAACGAAATGTCAGAAAAATGACTTTTTTTTATTTTTCAAAGTTCCTGATTTAACGAAGTAATGCGCACCTCCCCTCGGCTTCCTTAGATCGAGTTTTGACTGGAGTCTCGATCTTCACCGGAACCGCTAGCTGATCTCAAAATGGTAGGCGTTTTAATAGCTAATGCAGGAATGACTGTTTGTCCCTATTTGTTACTTTATTTGGTCTACAACTGGAAAGGAAAAAAAAGCGGGACCTCCTTCCTGAGGAATGTCGACCCTACTTTCCTCGTAGCCACAAACGAACAAACCGAAATCGAGGGCTCTCCCATAGTCTCCTTAGCCATGGGTGACTGCAGGAATGTGGGGTTAGTACAAAATCCGCTTCCGTGCTCTCCACTGGGTGAGCACAAAGAGAAGTTTAATGTTTGCAGTGCACCTAAAAACATTCTCGCAGGTCAGTTTAACATCCACTTCTATGTCTGAACTCTGGCTTGCGTGCATTCTCTCTTTCTTGGCAAGGCCAATGTATTTGACTGTTCACAGAGGTCTCCAACAGGCCATCACAACAAGGGACAGCCCACTAAAAGCTAAACTTGAAAAAAAAAAAAAACTTTCTCTGACCAAAAAAAAAAAAAAATCACGGACCAAAAAGCAAATTGCAGTCGTATTTTGATTTTGTGGTCAAACCGTCTTACACAAAATTGGCATATGACACGTCTCCTGATCGTCTTTTCTTGTCTCTTTGTTATTTCGAGGACACAGAAAATGCACATAGGCAAAGACTAAGGTCAAGGAGCGTGATGTGGAGCGACTCAAAACGTGTTGACACGAGACGTGCAGTTAGTGAAAGGAGCAAATATTTGGCAAGCAGCAGACTCTGCAGCCTTCCACATCTGCCTGAAGGCATGCTTTCAGACCACACAAAATCTCGGTTTGTTTCCGTTAAAATGCAATTGTCCGTTAAAAAATTCCCAGTTCTTTACCATGTTCTGCAAATGAACCGCAGTGGCAGCCAAGGCCACAACGTCACACGTTCATGTGACACCAGTATGTCGCGTGAAGCTAAATTGCAAAATTTAGTGGACACATTTGTTTGCTAAATCTTGTGTGAATTTATTATCAGGTGACGTCACAGTTTCACGCGACGTCACGCCACGTCATATCAAGTCACAATTTCTCCACTAAATTTCGAAAGAATTGAGTGTCACGTGACACAACGTCACATTTTCTCCACTAAATCTCGCGAGAATTAATTGCCACGTGACGTCGCAGTCTCACATGACGCTATGTCACATGACATCATTTCTCTGCTAAATACAGCGTAAATTTAGTGTCACGTCACGTCACACTCTGCGTGATGTCACTACACGTCATATGACGTCACAACTTAACTAACTTTAGAGGGAAGCGTTTCCCGTGACATCGCAGAGCAACTGGACGTCATATGACATGACATCCCCACACGAAACACAAATAGAATAATGGCTATCGACGCAGAACAAAAGAAGAAAGGCTGAGAAGTGGGCAGGGTAAACCCACCTCGTCGGTGATTCCACCTTCGAGCAAGCGGTGCATCTCGGTGGGGTTCTTGACCCACTGCTGCTTGAGTGAAAGCAACCTTGGGATGACCCTTGTCTCCTCGCCGCACCGCACGTCCGGGTGGGCGTCCAGCAGAACTCGCACCAGCGTGGTCCCGCTCCGCGGCATGCCCCCGATGAAGATGAGCGGCATGTCGTTGTTGTACGGGTAGCGCCGGGAATCCGGGCCCAGCACGTAGCGCTGGTCGGACCAAGCAGAGCAGCCAGGGAACAAAAAGAAATAAAAGTTAGTACCGCACTTTCAGGTCGTGGGGTTGTGAACGAGAAAAACTAGAGCTCCTCAATGTGCTCGTCTCGAAGACCCTCAACATACCAATTCACGCTTTGTGTTTATCTACGAGTGCAGACACTCACAGTTCTGAAAATGCACGAGAATCGTGTAACAGGTGAATAGGTTTTCGGCAAAAATTCCAAAGAGCCGCACACAAAGTCCTTTACCCCCCCTCCGTGACACTGAAGGGAGGGACAGGGTAGCGCGGTAGCACGCCTCTTTTCGCCCACTCGCCGTTGCCCCCAGGGTCGCCTCTGTCGTACGCTACAACCAATTATCCCTCGAGTTCTCGCAATTCCTTTCGGCGCCGCAGATGGCGCTGCAGGCTTTGGAAAAGATCTATTCTGGACGAAATTTTGAAACTTTAGACTGCTGCTAGTATAAGTCCCCCTGCGGATATATTCGGGTTGTGCTTTGCTAAGATTGTAGGCAGTGCTTAAAGGCCGACGTACACTTCGCTCTTTCCACTTTTGCCTGCCACCTCCTTTCCCATATCCTCTCCACTTTTTACCTTGCCCCAACCTGGCTCCCCCTCGCAGCTTAGGAAAGAAGAGCGCTAAAAGAATTATCTTCCCTGCAGAAAACCGAGGTTGTACGTCGGCACTTAAAGCCTCCTGTAAGTTGAGGGGGGTCCCTACAAGAAGAGGGGGGGGGGGTTACGAGATGTAATGGATGCACATAAAACAAACCCCACTGCTGGCTCTGCCCAAGCTGTACCTGCAACCCTCAAATTGGTAATCCACATATTCCACATCCCTGAAAACAAGCTATTTTATTCCTAGATATGATATTCATTTCACTAATACTGGGGCTGTAGAGGAGGGTCTCAGACCATCCGTTTAAATCAGTGGGGGGCCCGAGGCCCCCTGAGACCCCCCAGACTTTAAGTTCTGATTGTGGGACTACCTAAGAATGGGGCATGTGAATCAGTACTTAACTCATTGCGCTTATGTTTGCCCCCCCCCCCCCCCCCCCCTTTTCTCCCTCAATGGCCCATGTTTACAATATGTCTGTGAGAACCAGCTCACCTGCATGCTTGCCTTTATTTCGATAAAAGTAATTAACTACGAGTTATCCGATTCCCCGTAATTTTACAGCCCTGTTACCGCTCTATCTTCACAACATTAAAAAATATGAGGTGCCACGCGCTTGCGAAGTGCTCAAACGGCTTCAAAAACCGCGCAAGACAAGGAGAAACCAAACATACGTTCAATGCATCCAACAGATGGCGCCACCGCAGCGTCAACTGGAAAAATGCGTCCCCGATTTTAGTTTCAGTTATTATAGCCTGAAAATGCCGTTTAAGCTTTTATTTCAAACGGAAAACCTCGTTTTAGAAGAAATTGGGTTCTTTTATGCGCAAACAAAGAACGAAATCGAGCAAAACCGCGAGTTGTCAGAGGCAACCGTCGTCGACGCCACCGCTTTCATTATGGCATTCCGATGGAATGTATCGATATTACGAGAGCGAAACTAGCTCATCACGTTTTAGCAGCATACATGCTTCCGCAAAATACACCTCATTACAAAGTTACGTTTCGCCAGGACGAGCGCTGGCAGGAGGAATTTTGTAACAGCGAAACCTTTGCGGCTCGGGAAACCCGCAAGCGTGCTTTCCCGCTTCGCACCCTCGCTTTGCGGAGAAGAGATCGTCAGGGATACGCTGTCTTCTCCGCAGCTTTGAAAACCCGCAAGCGTGCTTTCCCGCTTGACACGCTCGTCTTGCGGAGAAGAGAGTGCCAGGGAGAAACCTTTTTGCGCAACCCACGGTTGACAGGAAAAGAAAGGAAGTAATACATTGTTGACTGAAGACAGCGTTACTCTCTGGCGTCCCGCCACTGCGGTGGCGCTGCTGTCGGCACTGCGCATGCGCGGAAGCTTCGCCTCACGCGAATGTGGTTTCTGCGCGCGTGCAGTGCCCACACCCGGTGTGGGCAAACGCGGGCTTGGTTGTAAACAGGGTGGTTGGTGTTCGATAGCCAGGCGAGCTGGTCGTTATTCGGCACATTAAAACCGTTGGGTTTCTTTTTTTTTTTTTTCCGTTCTGTTCGTCCTTTTTTGCCTCCGTCCAGAATCTTAACAGTGTTGGGTGAAGTACATCTAAAAAGTACTCGAACTAAAGTACAAAGTAAGTGAGAGGTTATTTGCTTCGAGTAAAGTAGTAAGTACACCGGGCGCAATGTACTTCAAGTAAAGTACTATGTATGAAATTCACCTTCTAAGTAAAGCAAAAGTCCTTTTACACAATCTTTCGTGGTGCACTTTCGTCTACATATAGAGTGTTTTTTTTAAGCTGGTATGTATTGTTCTAAAGGTAATGGGGGGTGCATCTGTTATGGGAAACGGCGGCGACTACTGGACAAAGTCTTTGGCCACAGAATAATTATTTTACTCTCGCTCATGAACTATTTAACACAGTGAACTTATAAGGCACATGTTTGTATCCGTCTTAGAGCTGCCATTATTTCACTCGAAGAAATGACCAGATAACGTCTGGAAAGACGATAGCGCGTTTTCACACGACGATACGCCATTTGAACGATATGCCGCATCGTTCCTAACAGAGCGATGCGTCGTCTGATCGCGTTTCTGGTGGAAGTAGGACATCCCTCCCGGCATTTCTTAGGAGTTGGCGAAGTATCCCTTTTGTGATACAAATTCAGCGAGACTAAATTTGGGGAATGTACTTTAAAGTCGGGAGTCGTACTTTCCTCGTAAAGTACCGGAAAAAGCGTGTAGGTAAGCTACAAGTACACGCTCAGATAATGTACTTCCAAGTAAAGCAAAAGTTTTCTAAACCTACTTGAAGAGTACTTAAATTACAATGTACTTAATCTACTTCCTAACACTGGGTAAGCCGCATTGTCAATACTTAACCGAAGCGTTACCCGAAATCGCGGGAAATGGTTTTCCGTCCTAGACAAACGTTAGAGCAGTCCGCGAGAGCGTAAAACGATTTCGCCAGGAGGTTCTTGACGCCACACCTAAAGCCCAGGAAGTTGCATTTTCGACGATCGCCAATAGCACCCGCTACGCACTAGGAAATAAAATGGCGGTGCACGCGAGGAAACCGTGAAATAAAATGCCGCTACTCTAAAAAAAAAAAAAAAAAAAAAATGTGACCGTTTTATTTTATTTTTTTTTTTTTTTAGTAGACCGTTTTTGCCTTTTTGTTGCGCTGTTCACGGCGAAGGCGCCGCTACTGCGCATGCGAGCCGCTAGCCCTGCCTGCGGAAATCCTGATCTTGTAGCGGGTTGCCGAGATCGTTGCGAGGGCGGCTGATACAAATCTACAAGTCTCTCAACTCCATCTGCTCCCCCACCCGAAGGTCACGTGACCCTCACGCGGCACTGGACTGGCTTAAATCGCCCGTAGCGTCCTCCGTGGTACGTCTCAAGGTGAAACGGGGTTCAGTAGTCGCCATATTTGAGTGCGCTGTTCAGAACTAATATGTCATTGGACCCTGGAAATGTAGCGCCAAGTTCCTCTTCCCCCAGTATGGTCCAGATTTTGGTTCATGGAATGAGCGGTCTCCCCTCGACCTCTCCATTCCGGGTGAGCCGATCTGATTTCGCTGGTGACGGGTAGCTTTACACATACGTTTTTTTGAATACCGATATTTTGTTATTTCACAGAGCGGCGAAACGAGAGCACGTCTTCGCAACGCCACCACCTGCGGCGCGGGTCTTGGCGGCATCGAAAAATAATGTTCCCGTCTTTAAATACGCGAGAGGAGCAACACCATTGTAAGAAACATGTGTACATAAGCGTGGCTGATAAGTGTATTGCATGTAGAGCACAAAGTCGTTCATATATTAGCGAGGAACGCTTTCAGTACGACGATGCTCCGTAACGATCTCGGCGCGAATGGTTCAGAACGACCCTTACGAAGTTTTGAAGAGTTGAATGGACCGAAATGACGATTGCCATAGCAACTGAGGCCGATCAACCAATCACCTTGCGAGGTTGCGTCGTCTGTACGTATCTGCTAGTGTCCGGCTAGCAGGCAAGGAAGGCAATAGCGCTACTTTCCCACGATCCCGCAACTTTATGCAGAGCGCGTGCTCGGAATAAGCTCGCACCTATAGGTTGCTAGGACCGGCAGTCTCGGTGGCGTGGAAGGCACGTCGCAAAAGAACTCGGGAAGCTCGCCGTTAGCACGCGCTGAATGACCGTGGACTCAGCTATGGGAGCTCTAGGCGTGAATAGCCGCGCCGGACATTTAGATGCCGTTCACGGAGACTCGGGTCGGCGCAGGAGAGGGGAAAGGACTCACGTCGGGCGAGACGTAGGTGAAGTTGGAGGCCCTCTGTCGACAGGAGCCCAGGAGCGAGTAGAGGAGCACGAGGCCGAAGAGCGAGAGGGCGCTGAGCAGGAACCAGCGCCGAGTCAGCCGATGCGCCACCATGCCACGCATCCTGCAAGCGCGCTCGGGAGGCTGTCGGCGCGCGCTGGGCTCCGAGCTCGGTCCGGCGGCTCAGCGGCTACCTCGGGCTAGGACACGCCGCGTGGTCCGAGAGGCCCCCAGTCTCGTGTCGGGAACACTGCGGGAGAAGGGAGACGAACACTCTCAGAACGCGACACCGATATGCACTCTCTTGGTACGACGTCAGCAGCGAATGTCGTCGTGTTCCCAAGTAACAGCCACACAACGCTATTAGGAAGGCGAGCTGGTTGTTAACCGACATACAGGAACCGGAGGCAAAAAGAGGGACCAACAAAACGTCTCTTAAGACGTTGTGTTTTGTCTTTTTTTTTTTTTTTTTGCCTCCGTCTCGGGTTTGAGTATGTCGATTAACAGCAACGCGCCGACTAAGTTGCACGTTGTGGAAACTCGATCTAAGCGCAGCGTGGTCGTGGTTACACGCAAGTGCATTGGGAGGTACGGCGCCTCGGAAATTCTGTGTTTGCGAGTCCAACAAAAGCGTGTCTTTTGTCTTTCACAAATTTCAGTAATTCCAGTGATTAAATTCGAAAATGGGAAGCTTTATAGTACTCCGTTTAATGTTCACAACAATGAACCGATTTTTCGACTTTTGCTACGTATACTACTTAGAATCACTTCCTAACGTTAATGACTCAATAACCTTGCCTTAATTTTTCTTTGTAGGCAATGGCAGGTAGACGAAAAAATTCGAGAAACATGAGCACAGTTCATCACCCTCAACTCGGAACCAGAACAAGCGGCCACGTAACCTGGTGCCTATCCTTTGCCGCCAACGTTAATCATAGCCACGCCCTAGGGTTTGCAAAGTAGAAAACCCGTGCTTGAACCCTAGGGTTGGCAAAGTTCGGCTATTCGCATCACCGCGGTGGTTGGACACGAGCCACTACCCGAGTGTCAGCCGAGGCACTGATTGTTACGAGCCAACGTCGAGTGGTCACGCAGCCCACGCGTCCAATCCATGAGCCGCGTTCTACTGTCGTCAGGCGGGTGGTTTCGATCCCACCATTACGTCAAGCTTTGCGAAGGCGAGACAGAAAGAAATAGTCCCCTTCTATCCTCGCAATTTCACTCCGACGAAGAAGCTTCTGAATCAGTGGCGGTCTGTTCGATTATACTCGGGACAGTCTAGGACCATTATGAACATTCCAACTCGCTTTCGTTTCATGACCCTTTAACTGCGAGCAAAGGAGAAGCTACAAGAGAGAGCGCGACTCCTTGGGCAGCCATGATATGCACGCGCGCTGCTGAAATGAAAGCGTCGTTAAAGACAAGGCGTTCGTGCTTTCAGCATCGCCTTCACTCCACTTATAGTAAAACAAAAAGCAAGGTGTAAAAAAAAAAAAAAACTGTTATTATTGAGGCCATCAGTAGCATTGCGGTGAATCCAGCATAGTCGAACTGTGGTGGTGCGGCGGTCAGCCATAGCGGAGGCCGCGTTCTTGTCCATCAACACGTCCCCCAGACGGCATTCTCGGAAGACCCCGTGCGCAGCGGGGTCCGATACCCGACCTGCCGTGGGGGACCACCGCTCTTCCTTCGGCCAACGGAGCGATACGCTGCGGCGAGGTGCCGGGAGGGGAGGGCGCACCCAAGACCACGCCCGAGCCTGTGACTAGGGGACGACTTGGGACCACGCAGCGGCCGGGACAGAAGCCGACGTCGTGTCTCCGTCGATGTTCTAAATTTGGCCACGTAACTTCAGTTTAATAAATTAGATATTGTAGTAGAACACGCTTCACTGCATCGGTGACTTCTACAGAACCGAGGACTGAGTGACAGGCCCGAAATTGGATTATTTAACTGGTGATCCCCGAAATACAACTAAAACATTACAATTATATATAGTATTTCTAGGCCTTATGGGCTATCAAGTAAAAAGGTTAGAAGTAAACGAAAAATGGCTTTTTGCAAAAACCGAAAATATCTCAATTATTTATAATTGTAACGAGTTTGGAGCTCGATATAATTTTTCGTATAGACCGACACGCGGAGCGGCTCTGTTTACCAACACGGCCGGAAGGCCGCGCATGCGCGGTAGCTATGTGGGCAAAAGCAGCTCGGCTCTCCGTGTTTTCGCCAGCGAGCTCTATGGCGTGCGCTCGTTGTTGACGTTGTAGGGACGCTTGTATCTTTATTTGTGTGTCGTGTTTCCTCATAACGTATGTCGTATGCTATGCTCGACTATTTGAGCTCGTTGCCCGAGCCTGAACGGTAGCGGTATCGAAACAAACTGTGCTTGGACGGCGTTGCCTACGAGGATCCGTACGCCGTAAAAGAGGCCTAGCTGCTGGACTTCCGACGTAAATTTGCTGCCACGGAAGTCGGCGGCTCATGTCTTCGTTTATTTAGTTTCTTCGCCAAGCCAGTTCACGGCCGACACGGCGCAGGCGTACAAGTCTCTCGAGGCCTACGATTACTTCGAGTCGGTTTCCGCACTGCCGGCGGGATTAGCAGACTGTGGGTCTGCGGAAGTGTGTGTATTCATTAATCGATTAAATACACAGAGCGTCTTCAAGTCAAGGTATGATATTTTTCATACCCTCATGACCACAAGGCATTACAACCAGTAAAGGTCTGTCCGTTCTGCAGTCTTGGCGGTAACAATTAAGTTACAAGTAACGGCGTTACCAGAAATGCGTTACTTTTTTCAGTGACGTAGTAACCTACTCGTTACGTTTTTGACACAGTAACGGGTAACGTACTTATGTTACTATTTCAAGTAACGCTGTTACTTTAGTCATTACTACTTCCCAAGTCTTAAAGAAATTACACTTCAATTGTTTCCGTGTTTTAGGCGTCAAGCCATGTTTTTCTTTGCGTTTTTTTTTTTTTTGTAAGTATTTAGGTGAAACCGTAAAAAGAAATTAAATAATTATGTTCAGTTTCTGCTTGATATATGACGTGTATCGTCAAAACACAGAAGTAACGTGCCTTACTTTTTATCGGTAGCGGTAACGCGTTCCTTTTATTTTTAGGTAACGTAGCTTAGTAACGCGTACGTTTTATTTGCAAGTAACAAGTAACGTATTTCGTTACTTTTTTTTTTTTTTTGGTAACGCCTACAACACTGCCGTTCTGTCGCCGATCCCTTTCTGCTCGGTAGCACGGGCGTAGCGAGCTTCCGACGAGCGCTTGGCCGGTGCGTTGTGCGCGAACACCGTGGGAACAAAATCCGGGTGGTCTCGATCAGACAACGTTTCCCTGGACATAAGCAAGCCTCGGGACGGAGATTGAAATGAAATGGAAGCCGCACTTGCCTCCAAGAAAGTGTTTGCCGCACAAACGGCAGTTCGCGCGAGGCGACCATTCTTTTCGATCCACGGATATTATCTACCTTCTATGCCTTTCAGAGTCTGCCGGGAACTTGTGGAAACTCACTCCGCTGCTTTTCTTGTACATTTCGGTGAAATTAACGGCAACACAGCTTCGCGCAATGCTGAAATGCTATGACGCCCATGCGAAACGTGCGCGCTTTTGCCCACACCCCCCGGCTCCGGCGCGACCGCAGCGCCGCCGCAGCTCCGTGACGTCAAGCCCGCGTGTCGGTGATACCAAAAGTTTTGCCATCCGATAGCTTACAATTATAGCTACGCGCTGATACTTATTTCATCGTTATCTTCAACTGTTCGCTTGCAATGCCTGCAATAATCCCCTCCGGGATTGGCAGTATTTTGAAATAAATAAATAAATAAATAACTGGAGTAATTCAAGTTGGAGGCAAAATTGCTCCAGATAGAAAGTTCGCGATTTCATACGAAAATAACTATGAAAAGTAGAAATTAGCGTTTTATTTATAAAAATGATTCGTAACATCCCCTGCAGCGTAAAAATATATTAGCCACTCGAGTAAAGCCAATAGTCTTCAAACGACGTCCAAAGTTGAGGAAAAAGTATATTGAGCTTTTAATACATTTCACATTTTGCGGACATTCTTTTTTTAGCTGTTCTATTTTAAATTTTTTTGAAGGACAATTTGGTTTACTGGAAGACTAGATCTACCACATTCACTTTTTTTTTGTCTGAAGATTTCTTTTTTGACAAGTTTGGTCGAGTTCGAATGGAACCACCCTTTTAATTTGGCGAGCCAGCGGGCGCAATCTGTCCTTTTTCCCCTTTCGTTCCAGCCACTGGCTGCTCGCACAAATCAGCACCGCGTGTCCACTTAATACCCGGGCACTGTTAGTTCGTGCGCCTAAGGCCTACCCTACAAGGAGTAGAGCGCGGTTGAAGGAGCCCACGCACGGACCGGCACGCACCAATCACGCGGCCGGGCCTAATTGGAGACCGAACAGGATAAGCAGCGGGAATCCTCCCACGCAGCAGGAGAAGCCAGCGAAGCTACGCGAACAAAGGCGGTATTTCTTTCTTTAGGGGAAAAACAAAAAAAGACAGAAAAGCCAGGAGGCGGATTAAATAACGGCCGTGTCCAGTTTATCTGGTTGTTGCGCTTGTTCTGCCTGTTGTCCCTGTATAGGCGTTTCGGGCGTTTGCTTGCCCGAGTCATTGCGTTTTGTACTGGGGTCAGGGCTTCATTAACGCGCCGCGGGTAATTCCGGGTGAAGGTGTGGGTGTTGCGCGAGCGAGGGAGGGAGAGAAATGCGGAGGCGAGAAAACGAAACTACGCGAGTGCGAGAGCGTGTGTGCGAGTACGAGAGTTTGGAAGTACGACAGTATGTGAACGGACTGAGCGTGATTCAGTGCGAGAATATGGGACCGTGAGGGGTGACTGGGTTGAGTGGATGCAAGCTTGACCGAGAGTGAGAGCTGAGACTGAAAGAGTGAGAACACTTGCGTAAGCGTGAGTAAGTGCTAGAGTGAGTACTTGTAATTGTGCATGAAAGCGAGTGAGTAACCGTGTGAATGTTTTTGTTTAATCTGTGCGTATGTGTATGTGTACGTGTGTGTATCTACGTAATTTTGTCGGGCTTCATTCTAGGATGTAAAGACGCACACTTAACAAATCCGAGTACCAACAATGAGCCAGTGTTGTAAATTCTTTCCAGGACGGACATTCCTGGCGCACATTTGATGTTACGGTATTATTATTGTTATTACAGTCGTGTCTCATTAATATGGACCGCGTTAATAGGAA